GCAAAAAATAAAAGAAGAAAAACTCGGCCATTATCCTGTCATCTTGACCGAACAAGCTTGGTCAATAACGCACATTTACTGCAGACCGCAAACCACTGTTTCAAGGTTGCCTTTTGCAAATTGCGGTCTAACAATTTCTTTGTCTTCTTTTGGCAGGTTTTCCAGCAGCGATCAGGTCAGATTTTCACAGGTAGGTGCCATTAAATGTTCACAGTTTTAAACCCCAAATTACTCTTATGCCCCATTCAGTCTTGTATTACAAATGTTAAAAACATTGTTTTTCATGAGCCTATGTCTCTCTCAAGGATTAACACTGCTTCAGTGTCGATGCAGTAATGGTTTTAAAATATAAATCCTATTAATAGCATGCTGAAAATATTTGTCACCTACGTGGGAACAAGAAAATAGTAGAGTCCGAAGGAGAATTGTTTGACAGACTCTAAAACACCCTGTTCTTGCGTGAAAATGTTTTCCAGACTGTCTTGTTTCTGTTCTGCAGATGAGTGATTCCAGAGGAATGGGCGGGGGAGCATTATTACAAGGCTCGTACAACGAAGAAGAAAGCGCACAATCGTTTGCACAGGCTCTCATGGAATGGAGAAATTCCGGAAAGGAAGAGAAAATGCAAAAGAATCCGACAAATGCGAAAAGTATGTGAATTTTGACTGTATCCTTTCTTTACCTTGGTGTAGGCTGTAGGTGATAAGAAAAGCTGGACAAACTTATCAGCCTCAGGGTTTAGCTTCATGAAACTCAAAATTCGCTTGCTTACTAAAGAAAAGATGTTCAGCGGCAAAAAAGGAAAGTTGCAAATCAGGAATTTGGTCAAAACGAATGACTTCAGAGGGTGTCGTGACGTTGCTCTTCAATTTTTACCAGACCTGGTTTACCCTTTAACTCCCAGAGGTGATTAATATGTAACTTCTCCCTATAATATCCATACCTAATTCAGCAAACGGGTAATGAGAATACTCAAAATGTCACGGAAAGGTTGTTATCTTGATTGAACACCAAATTCTCGTGACTAATTTAGAGGAAATATGTGGCAGCTAGAGGGGAGAATTGACAATCAGATCATAGAGGTTGAAGGGTTAACTGACATGTTCTGTCCAATCTGCTTCGTTATTTCAGGCAGCTCTTGTGAGACAGGTACTACCCCAGAACCACCTAGGCACCAAGAGGTAAAGGTAAACTTCGGACCAAATAAGTCATTAAGTTATTTTGACCGCATGCTGCTCAAGAAACACCAAGGCGATCAAACTTTTGGTGGTCCACAGGCATCCTTTAATGGAATGAAAAGCAACAGTTCAGAACTGTCATTAAATTCGAACAGTGATAGCAATGAAAGTCCAAAAAGTGAAAACCAGCTGGGAATGAATTACAGAGAAATTTTTCAAAGCCTCGGGGCTTCAGAGAAGAAAACCAGCCAGGAAAACTTCCAAATGCCTCCCAGAAGTGTGATTTCTATTGAAGAAGTGAACGACGCCGATTTGAGCGGAGATGAGACTACCGCCTGTATAGTCGAGGAAGTAGACATTCACCCCTACCCACAGAGTAGGCCTTTGTCACACGCCGGTAGGGTCAGTGTTATGTGTATGACCCCCACGGGGAGATTCGAAGTTCATACGGATGCGCTAGTGTTGGAGGATGTATCACCAGTATCCGCTCCCAGTCCCTCCTTAAGGCAGGCCACGCCCCGTTCAAAGCAGATCGCGCGTGGTACAAGCTCTCGTCAGGGACTCCACTTAGGAACAAAATCACGACTTAATGGGTCGGTAGGTAGAGTGTGGAGTCCTCAGCCCTATCATGTTGGTTTGTCGGAGTTTTTTCTCGCTGGTGTTCGGGGTGAATCGTCTTCGGGGAGAACGTCTCGCGAAAGGAAGACGATTTTTGACCCAGCATTAGTGAAACCCGAAAAGTTAAGCAAAACTTTGTTATCACAACATGTATGGAAACCACGGGAAAGCGTCTTTTCTAGTAATGATAGTGACACTCCAAATGAACAACAACAACAATTAGAGAAAGATGACGATAACAAAGCTCGCACAGACAGTCCTCGCCCTATCATTCCCCTTTTACGTGCACCAGAGTTGCTGGATACAAGAAATGATAGACCAGATTCGCAGTCATCAACGATAGTTCCACCCTCGGCAAATGAGTCCGAATTCACGAATGAAGCTAAGATTCACGACTTCGGAATCGTAGATTTCCTAAGAGCCCCGCCATGCTTGCCCAAAGGCTTTGAGGATTACAGTCAGGTACATCGCGTATCCACTGTGTCTCCGCTGACTCTTAGCCCAAACCCTCCGAGTTTTCATTGGTCGGATGATAGCGATGACGACTTTCTTGCACAGGTTTGCTTCCAAGGAAATCAAGATGACCAGAGAGCGGACCAAGACGAGGATGACCGCGCCACCTTGACTGACTTGGCCTGGGAATTGGCCTCGACTACAGGGCGGTTGACGCAGTGTGACTTAGACGACGAGGAAGGGGAGGGTGAGGAGGAATTTGACGAGGACAGTATTGAGAGTAACGACCTTGGATCTGGGTTGAGCTCAAGCGAAGAAGACAATACCGCAGCTGATATTCACAGTGCAAATGTTGACAATGTAAAAAGCAAAGACGATAGTACGCGAGCGGAAGAAGAAGTACATGCCTTGGAGTAAATCTCGAAGGTTTTGGCTTTTTTTAGTTTTACCCGTGAAGGAAGTAGATAGATACCAGAACTGATGGTGTGACACACTTCTTTATACTAATCGATCAGCTTCTGAAGGAAAATGAAACTTCGAAGCTTTCGTAACCACCCAAGATTGACTAGGAGTTACGGTTCTGATAAAAGGCGCTTTTCGATTGGGTTCGACCTTCGATTTTTGCACTAAACCTGTACTCTCGTGAAACAAAATTAACCAATCAAATCGTAGGAAACGAACGCTAATAGCAGTAAGGACCATTGCCAGCAAGGGTCACGATGAATTTAGAAGGAATTTGTTGCTCTTTTCCTGTCGTCGTATTGGTCAGTTTACGTAATTGACCCCGCTGACGGAACTTGCTCTGTTAAACAGCAACCAGAATTAACACATTTCTTTTGATAGTTAGTTAGGCGACGCGAATTGCTAATCTAGCTGAAACAAAACCACAGTTGCCAGGCATTGCCTTGACACTCAAACTGAACTCGCTCTGTTAAGCTCTTCAGAGAGCTCCCTATTACCTGTTGAAGTGGCGGAGCAAAAATATGAAAGCGTGGGCAACTCTTGGCAGATTTTAACCCGTTCGATCCCATGATCTCATTCGTAATTCTCCTTACTGTCTGCCATATGATTCTTTTGATACGTATTTGTGCACGATACTCGCAGTAAAGAGCACTATTTAAGCAATAGTGAAAATCATACCTGATAAAATAGGTTGTGTTTGATTTATCATCTTACGGGTTTATGTCGGACTAATTTGATGACCTGCACCCAGTTGGCTTGTTAGCTCAATTGGTAGAGCGCTGCACAAGTATCGCAGAGGTCAGTGGTTCGAATCCCGTACAGGCCTGAATTTTTTCAGGTCTGATTTTCACTATTGCTTAAATAGTGCTTTACTGCGAGGATTTAGTTACAAGTTTACAAGTTACAAGTTTAGTTGGTCTTCCAAAACAATTACTTAACATAAACACCGCCTGCAAATAGCGAGCTAATCTAGGCGGGCGATGTTAAGGACAAACAAACACGAATTACTCATTGAAGGCGTTAAAAAAAAGTCGTTTTTGAATACATTATTTGTCAAAAGATGAAAAAGAAAGTGATAAAAAGTGAAGAAAAATATTATAATTTATGATTGAATTGTAATTAAGATGCCTATTTTATTTCAGAAGTAAGAGTGCTAGTGTCAGCATAACTGTCCAGAGTTTCTAGAGTTTCAAATAGTAATGCTTGAATTTAGGATCGCGCACAAATGTGTTTCTATAACCGCAGTTCAGATACAGTGGAACCCCTATACAACGATCCTCGATATAACGATATTCCCGGTACAACGATAAATACGCTATGTCCCAGCAAAAGTTACAGTAAAATGTATGGGACAGAACCCCGTCTCGATCTAACAGTAACTCGATACAACGATCTAATTCCACTGCTCCCTTGGCATATCATTATATCGAGGTTTCACTGTATATGAATTTCTTATATTCCTGGTGTTTGATTCTTATGATGTTTAGTTCAGAGAATTTGGTATTGGATCAATAATAAATCCGCTTATTGATATTTTTCTTAACTCTCATCACTTGTCTGCTTGATGTTGTATTGATATAGTAAGGAGAAATTCTGACTTGATCACTCGTGGGAGTCAGAGGGTGAAACAGTCTTTTGATAAGAGTAAAATGTTTTTTACAAGTATTACATTGACCTTTTTATGTCAGGAGTCGCTGGGAAAAGAAAAAACAATGGTTTAGCTTATATGTTAGCTTGCGTTGTAGTATTTATTTAGTGTCCTCTTTTAGTGTACAGTTGAGTTAATTGTGTTAAAAAAAAAAGATGAAATGCTTAACAATTGCAGTCACGTACTTGCTTTACTTTTGTAATATCTACTTATCAATTGAAGGGGGAAACCGCGTCATCGTGCACGGCTCCGGCGTTTTTCAATGTTTTTCAATAAAAGAGAGCGCGAGACAGAACTTGTCATATGAAAAATGGAATAACTACAACACAGATGACCTCTCCATCTACCAGACGACATTTCGAAACCTCAATACCTCCGTAATGATACGCTCATCATCACTATTAAAATAGCAATCAGGCTAGTGTTTCTCTAATCTATTCTTTCTTAGGTTTGCTTTCAGTCAGTTTGCAACACAAACGACAACAGAATCTACACGTAAACCAAAGCACCACGAAAACTAATGTTATTATGGTAACAAGAAATGCTACGACGTCGAGTAAGTGGTGTTGGTACCATGGCATGTTAAACACTTGGGCTCTGAGGTGCTGGGCTCCTCCATGTCTGATTACGTACTCCAGCCAGTCACCGGTTTCTTCTAAAGGTGTTCGTCGACGATCCTTCAATAGGCTAGAGATGTGTAACACTTTCGTTTTAAATCTGAGGAAGGGAAGGCAAATAATCAGTCACATTTTACTCAAACGTACCATAACGAATTATTTAAAGAACGCTGTGGGGATCTGCCGATACTTCGATCATTCTCGTGACGGGGGTCTCTTCCATACGTGACATCGTAAGAGCGGCTGCGAAGGAGACCATCCTGTTTGTCAAGTGAACAAAAATTCTCGCATTCATTTGAGCTGGTTAGGTCATTTGAGGCCATGGCAGCCGTAACATCGCTATTTCCCTGTAAGGCGTTCTTACCTGGGTTCACCAATGACGCGTTGAATTGTGTCGAAAAGATCCTGAGCGTTACAGCCTTTAGGATCCACAGCTAAACCAATACCCAAGCTTTCTGCCTTTCTAGCATTAAAATGTTGGTCTGCAAATTGAGGAAAAGCCACCAAAGGAACTCCGTGGTATGCCGACTCATAAAGGCTATCGTGTCCCACATGGGAGACAAAAGCTCTGATATCGTTGTGAGCCAAGAGATCATTTTGAGGTAACCACTCCACTACTTTGATGTTAGATCCCAAGAAGGATGGAATGTAACCTGTGAGAGCAGACACGAGGTTATAGAAATATAACGGGATGGTTTTTCAATAGAGTTACAAGAATGGACAAGCACAATTTTCGTGATCTTGACGGTAAGAACATTCTCGTTGTTAAAATTTTGAAAATAGCAAGATTCGGGGTTAAGTGTACATTTGACCGAAAGTGATTAAAACGGGGTCTATAATTGCTCAGCGGCATACCCCAAATTGACCTACCCCCATTCAAGGCTTTTGTAAGTCGTTCCAATCTTCCCATTCTTATTAACCATTTCTCCGTTCTTCGTTGATTGATTTGCAATGATACCACTTCAGTGTGATGTGTTGTGGGCGTGTTTGTGTGTCTTTGTGCGTGTCTATTACCGTAGTAATAGTTTTCTATTTCCTTCAAGCTGAGGAAAGATTAGGAAATCCCAAAGTCACGACCTAATGTAACTCATTGACTTTACAATGTTAATAAGTATAGTAAGGAATTTCTATCTGTACTAAAACAAAATTGTGTCATTTAATTAAATGAATTATTTTAAAGTACACGTCTAAAGCAAAATAGCGAGACATATACTATTGATACCTTTAAGTCTCCACACAACTCGCTGTTTCAGCTTTCCAAATGCTGTCGCTAACATGTCCACAACTGTTCTTGGAAGAATCGAGGCCAAGTTTGATCCAAAGGAAACAATGATGAAACCATTCCCTCCTGAATTATTCACGAATTCTTCAAGATCGGGGGGGAGTGGTTTGCCTTCTTTGACATTCAGTGGTCCAACCATTATATTCCCTTTTTAAAAGTAACATAGACGAAGATGAAACATTTAAGAATGCATTTTGTTCAACAAAAGAGACTAGGTTAAGAGGTGAAAAATTTTGAAGGCTCCTCCCCTTTTTTTCCTCCTTTTCCTCTTAATTTTTCCTTTCCTTTCCCCACGTTTTTTTCTTCTCATCTTGGTTTCACATTCACAGCTTGTTTTGGAATATCACGCAACGCTCCCCCTGACACCTCGAAGAAAGGAGACCATTACTCACCCCGTTCCTTTTCTGTGATACACATGCCTCATAAATCGAGAGTGTAGCGAGGAGGGGGGGGACTAGATTGCCTGTGCTCTCCCCCCCCCCCCCCTCTGTAAGAAGAGTCTTTTAAGTCACCAACAGACAAACTTCACAAATCAAGTGGCGAGGAAGAGTGAAAGCATCAACGCAGGATCTATGCCGCATGTAGCACTCATTGCTCGTTCGAAAAAAAAATGTCACCTTCAGTAAAACAAGGGTGGGTGTCGAAATGAGGGTTAATCAGGTATCCTGGGTGGGACACGTTTGACCTTCTCCTCCTCTTAGAAAAAACCCCAGCTACGTTTCCAATGGGAAAAAATTTTTTTTTCCTGGCTTACAAAGAGTACCATCCGGCATAATGATGTTAGGGAAAAACTACCTGGCAAAAGAGGCTGGGCATACTCTATTGCAAAGTCTGCTCTGATTAAAACTAGTTCCGCGCCATCAACAGTCTCCTGGTAGCTTCTTTCAGTTGTGATGTTGTATTTCAGTTTCAAGGCATCCATTGGCCTTGCAAAGAGAATGTCTTTGAACAAGCGTAGTCCGATGTATGCGACTACATTGGCAACTCGTTGCAAAAATGTCATTTTGTCCGTGAATCCCGGAAGCACCATCATTGGGATATAGGAAAGTGGTGTGGGTATCATATGGTCGAAAGGGTTATTGGGAGTAACCAACATTTGTACTCTTGGAATACCAAGGCGATCACCGATAAGGGCACCACATACTCCAAGTACATCATACACAAGAAGATCAAAGCCTTTTAGTTCCTCCATAATCTTTGTATCGTTTAAAACACTATCACACACGGCAGGTAGCACTTCCATCATTTTGGACAGCAGCTGAAACTTGTTACCTTCTAATTCTAACCTCAGCAATTCAATTTCCATGAAACCGGGCTTATATGGTACTTGGAAAATCTTGTGTTGTACTCGGTCACTGAGCTTAACTTTCTCAGTTGACGGAATGACCATATTTACCTGACAAGAAACAGTCATTTTCCTGGAAAAGAGGTTCTCTGATCCCGAAGATAAATAAACATTACTCTAGTTCTCTTATACCATTTCAAAGTAAAGAGTCTAGCGAAATAGAAAAGGTATGGCGATTGATTTATCCATATAACAAGAAAGAATAACGAAGACCGAACGAAGTTGTGAAAAGACTGGCGTTGGGTCGCTCCCTGAGTCCCTAGTATCTTGATATGGGTTTCACCCCCAGTTTTCCCAATTCTGACCCTAAACTTAATCCGGTTTAAGGCCATGATAGTAAAAATCCGTCTTAAATACATGCGTCTGCTGCGTACAAAGGGAATCACCGCCCACGAGGACAACACACACCCAACTACCAAAATTTAAGAGCTAAATCTTCGTAAAATCCGTCGTTGTAACGCATGTTGTAGTGGTCTCGGTCTCTTCACATCCAGTTCGTCGTAAAATACAGTTAACACCCGAAAATAAGAACCTTATTTTTTGGCAGTCTGGCAAAAAAGGATTTTGTTTAAAGGGGTAGTTGTTGGTAATTTTGGCAAAACAGGTTCTTAATTAGGTTTTTAATTGCTAAGAGGGGGGTACAGTTGTCATTGTTTTGCATATATATCATAAGAATATTAAATAAGTTCAAAACGGGCTAAAATTATATATAATACTGTATAACTGTAACTTTCAACTACTGCAACAAGTAACTAACACTAAATGGTGCTATTTCTATAGAATTAGCTATATATCATATATAGTTAGAATGAATATGTGAAGTTCATATATTTTGAACTGCGGTATTAAATACGTATGATGCACGATCCTTCGCAGTAGATAGCGCTGTTTATGCAATAGCGAAAATCAGACCTGAAAAAAATCTGGCCTGTACGGGATTCCAACCACTGACCTCTGCGATACTAGTGCAGCGCTCTACCAATTGAGCTAACAAGCCAACTGGGAGCAGGCCGTTAAGTTGATTCGTAATAAACCCGTGATGATAAATCAGATACAATGAATATATGAAGTTCATAAATTTTGAAAATATATATGAAAAATCAGACCTGCGAAGGATCGTGCATCATACGTATCATATATAGTGTTTGCACCATTGTATCATATTGGGCACTTTGTGTAAATTATCTTCTATTTCTTTTACACACACCATTAAATTGTGTCAGTGACTTGTGGTTTCTTTATCCTGTAATTTAGCTGTAACCCATATTATGAGAACCTGCTTGATCATGTTTGCTAAACAGGTTCTTATTTAAAGAGGTATTAAAATGGCAAATTCCTGCCAAGAGGCTCTTAATCCACTAGGTTCTTATTTTCGGGTGTTTACTGTATTGCGCAAATCAGGGTTTGCTTGACACTTAAATAAATACACAACCAATCTCTATTTGCATAACATAGACGTCATGGGATAAGTTTTATTTTTTTGAATTAATGACTTTGAGAGCGCATTGATTCATTTCACCTCTGCTCAGTTGCATAGAACAAACTGACTGAAGGACTTTTGGATCCTACGAACTAGCAACTAAGTTTCTTGTGGCTCACGAGGCAGACGAGTAGCTTCTATGTCTCACTGTAGGTCGAGATGAATCACGCGAACGTCTTCACGATAAAGGCAATCTTTGATGTTGAGCCAGCTGAGGACGTGTCGGTTTTTTAGCATTTATTCATCACTAGCTTAACAAATTTCAGACGAGAGAATATATGTAACCCCTTGAAAGAAGGGTTCGGTTTGTTAACCCAGCACCATGACCGCGCACAGACTCTGCTAATTTGACATTGACCAAAATTGTCTTACCTCGTGTCCTCGAGAGGCCATTTCTTCCAGAATACCCCTTAAGTTCATGTACTGTGATTTTCCTATCGTGCAAAAGGCAGCAATCCTTGCTGAAAAAGCCGAATTTACTGTCAATGACAGCAAAAGCAATACTAACAACGCCATCTTAGAGCTGGAACTGTGCAATGCTTTAATTGCTGCGTCAGTCGGATTATTTTATGAGGTGGTCACGCAATCTCTCAGCACCAGATCTCAAGAATGATGATGCAATAATAGCATCAAACAATGTCAATCCCATAACATCCCTGTTCCACAATCCATGGACTCCAAGTGTTCCCGTCCCTGTAAGATTTCTCTCCCAAAAGAAAAACTTTTGTAGTTTAACGAGGGAGGGGTAGGGGAGCGTCTAGAAGGCGGTGAAATCAACCGTGTAATGCCATATCGAAGGCGTTTGCCGAGGGTAAGAGTAAACAGTAATTTTGGTCAGCGGGGAAATTATGAAACCCGCGAATATTGCGAAATCCCGCGAAAGGATGACATTTAAAAACTGAAGACAGTTTTTGACTAAGGCACTAGAATGCGTAATCATAGCGACGACTCAATGAATTTGAATATATGAAAATCATATAAGTGTACTGCGGTTTCATGAAAGGTATAAAAATTGATAGTGGAGAATATTTTTCCCAGTGTGGGACCAGCATTCATGTAACAATTTAGCGTTGACAAGTTTTTCGTGTTACGTAAGTAAAAAATTAGATTCAACGCTGCAAGGAGAATCTCTCTAAAACTTTACTCGATAAGAGTCAAGTTACCGTCAAAAATTCAGACGTCACTGTTAGGTTTATTGGCGCATTGATAAACTGGTAAATAGCTCAAACATACTGAAAAAAAATTTTATTAGTTTTTGTTTATCTTTATCCTTTGTTCAGTACGATCTTACACATTTCGGGTTTGAAACTTTTGTGGAGAACAAGTGGTACACCTTACATGACATATTTTAAATTTAACCGTTGCACTATAAACTTGTGTGTTCGACCCTTGACGAACGCCTTCGATGTAGCGTCACCCAAATCAACCGCCCCCAAAATTCGTCCCAACAGTCCAGACAACAGAGTAAATAAAATAAATATGAACTTTATTCATCTGACTTTCGATTAAAAGGAATTGGAGAATTAAAGGTTACAATCTCTAGTAATCGTGGGATATTACAGTTTTACTATTGTTTGGCAATCTAGCTTTCCAAAAGCGATTGGGTTCTAGCTAGCCTCGTTTTCATGTTGAGCGGGAGATTCCCGGAAAAGCACCAACCTTTTTCCAAGAAAAAACGAAAGCACTTACGCCAGTAATTCTACCTTGTATCGAGACCTCTGTGATTCTCTTTCGGTAATTTACTCAAGGAGTGTGATTTCTAGTGAACACGTCAACGACGCCAATTTGAGCGGAGATGAGGTAGTCGTAGAAAGAAGACATTCACCACTACCCGCAGAGTAGGCTTTTGTCACTCACCGGTAAGGTCAGCGTTATGTGTATGACCCCCGCGGGGAGGTTTAAAGCTAATATGGACGGGTTAGTGCTGGACTGATTAGCCATCAGTATCCGCCCACAGCCCCTCCTTGAGGCATGCCACTCCCCGTTCAAAGCAAACCGCGCGTGGTATAAGCTCTCGTTAGGGACTCCACATGGGAACGAAATCAGAACTTGATGGGTTAGTAGGGAGAGTGTGGAGTCCTCAGCCCCATCACATTGTTTTTTAGGAGTTCTTTCTCGCTGGTGTCCGGGGGTAAATCGGTGTCGGGGAGAACATACAGTTAAGTTAACTGTGTTTAAAAAAGAAGATGAAATGCCTAATAATTACAGTCACGTACTTGCTTTGCTTTTGTAATTGTTTCGTTTAGTAAATAGGCGTTGCCTATGATGACAGATATAATTTAATTAATACAACTCATGATTGACATTAATTCCTCACAATGATTTAAAAGGTTAGCTTCTCGTGATTTAAACCAGTTTTTCAGAAAAATCAGTAAGAGAGAGAAGTCGATTTTTGTATCTGTTCGCTTACCCGAATCCGCTAACCTGATCGATCGAAGTGAGAAACCTGTTTCTACGACCCGCCACATAAGTAAGTTTCCAGTCACGTTTTCTTGAATTTTTCCTCGAAATTAAGACTAAATTTGCGTTTTCTGATTTCGAATTACAAATGTATTTCTCTTAGATCGAATAATCATTAAAGTTTGGATAATATTATACGGTTTGTGGTGGTCGTCTGAGGTGACCAGTTCTACTTATTAATTGAAAGGGGAAACTGCGTCAACGTGAACGGCTCCGGCGTTTTTCAATGTTTTTCAATGAAAGAGCGCGCGAGACAGAACTTGCCATATGGAAAATGGAATAACTGCTACAAAAATGATGTTTCCATCTAACAGACTACATTTCGAAACCTCAATGTCTCCGTAATGATACGCTCATCATCACTTTTGAAATAGCAATCAGGCCCCCAGGGCAATCAGGCTAGTGTTTCTTTGATCTATTCTTTCTTAGCTTTGCTTTCAGTCAGTTTGCAACACAAACGACAACAGCATCTACACGTAAACCAAAGCACCACGAAAACTAATGTTATTATGGTAACAAGAAATGCTACGACGTCGAGTAAGTGGTGTTGGTACCATGGCATGTTAAACACTTGGGCTCTGAGGTGCTGTGCCCCTTTGTGTCTAATTACATACTCCAGCCAATCACCGGTTTCTTTTAAAGGTGTTTGTCGACGATCCTTTAACAGGCTAGAGATGTGTAGCACTTTGGTTTTAAATCTGAGGAAGGAAAGGAAAATCATCACATTTTACTGAAACGTTCTATAACGAACTATTCAAAGAACACCGAGGAGATTTGCTGATACTTCCATCATTACCGTGACAGTGGTCTCCTTAGATCTCCCCCTTTGCCGCTCGTAACAAGGTCACGCAACATTGCGTGACATNAGATAGCACCGGCTGCGAAGAGCACTACGTGACTGTTGCAACATTGCTGTAGATCGGTCTTACCTGGGCTCACTAATAACGCGTTGAATTGTGTCGAAAAGATCCTGAGCAGTATATCCTTTAGGATCCACAGCCAAACCAATACCCAAATTTTCTGCATGTTTGGCATTATAGTGTTGGTCTGCAAATTGAGGAAAAGCCACCAAAGGAACTCCGTGGTATGCCGACTCATAAAGGCTGTTGTGTCCAACATGTGAGACAAAAGCTTTAATATTCTTGTGAGCCAAGAGATCATTCTGAGGTAACCACTCCACTACTTTGATGTTAGATCCCAAGAAGGATGGAATGTAACCTGAGAGAGCAGAAACGAGCTTAGAGAAAACACAAGGAATGAAACTGTATCAACAATCCACAATGACAAAGGAGGACAAATAAGTATTTGGATGTTTTTCTTTAGAGGAAAGCTTTGCATGTACGCCTCCCTCGTTCATCAACAAACATTTCTTTCAAGCGAAAGGCTTATGCCTCTCAAAGGGGCTACATTCGATTTTCCAAAGTTGTTATTTGCATTTCGTCCCAATTTTCCCATCAGGCTACAGTCGCGCCAACTGCACGATGTAGTCCGGATAATCGTGGGTCCGGATAATCGAGAATATGCCGGAATATTAATGAGGAACAAAAACTGATTAAATTAAGAAAGCGACATTTAATCCTGAAACAAAACATTGACAAATCGTTTTGAAAAGACATGGTCTACGTCTTCACTGTCCTACGAGAACACCTCTACACGTGTGTATTAATAATTAGAATTAATGAAAAAATGTTTCTACATAGACCTACTATGTGGAAGTACGTCAGTTTGTCTTAAAGAAGAACATCGCCTTTACTTCCCTTTTCAATGCTATAGCTTTCAAAAGAATAGGGCTACGGATCTGGATCATGACTAATGAATATTCATGAAAAAAACATTGGGACCACAGAAAAAGTCCGGATAATCGAGGTTCGACTGTATTCAATTTCCATGGATACTATTACAGGGTGCGTGAGATTGCGCACGTGCGTGTGTGTTTGAGTCATCTTTCTGCGTGATAATTTTCTGTTCTCACCAAGCTGAGGAAAGGAAATTAGGAAGTTGCAAAGTCATGACCTAGTGTAAGTCATTGTTCTTCATTTTGGTATAGTAAGGAATTTCTATCTGTACGAAAACAAAATTGTGTCATTTAGGTAAAAGAATTATTTTAAAGTAAACGTCTAAATGAAAATGTGAGACGTATACTCTTGATACCTTTAAGTCTCCACACAACTCGCTGTTTCAGCTTTCCAAATGCTGTCGCTAACATGTCCACAACTGTTCTTGGAAGAATCGAGGCCAAGTTTGATCCAAAGGAAACAATAATAAAACCATCCCCTCCCGCATTAGTGACGAAGTCTTCTAGATCAGGGGGGAGTGGTTTACCTTCCTTAACACTCAATGGTCCAACCATTATATTCCCTTTTGAAAGTAACACGGAAAAAGATGAAACATTTAGAAATACATTTTATTTAACAACCATGTCTAAATTAAGAGATGAAAATGTTTAAGCTCTTGAGATAATCAGTTCGGGGTCGACAAAACGCAAACTTTATAATTCAGGAGGCCAGAAAGGTTGAAGCAGAAGAGCCTACACGGTGTGAACCTCCCTGCCTTAAAAAAATCCCAGCTACGACCCGACTAGTATAACATTTTGCCCCATGCTTAGACTGAGTAACATTAAGTAAATGAGTCTAAGGAAACCTCACCTGGCAAAAGAGGCTGGGCGTACTCTATTGCAAAATCTGCTCTGATTAAAACAAGTTCCGTGCCATCAACAGTCTCCTGGTAGCTTCTTTCAGTTGTGATGTTGTATCTCAGTTTCAAGGCAGCCATTGGCCTTGCAAAGATAATGTCTTTGAGCAAGCGCATTCCAATGTATGCGACTACATTGGCAACTCGTTGCAAAAATGTCATTTTGTCCGTGAATCCGGCGGGAAGTATCATTATTGGGATATAGGAAAGTGGTGTGGGTACCATATGGTCCAAAGGGTTATTGGGCTTAGGCACCACTTGTATCCTTGGAATACCAAGGCGATCACCAATAAGGGCACCACATACTCCAAGGAAATCGTACAGAAGAAGATCAAAGCCTTTTAGTTCCTCCATAATCTTTGTATCGTTTAAAACACTATCACACATGGTAGGTAGCACTTGCATCAATTTGGACAGCAGCTGAAACTTGTTACCTTCTAATTCTAACCTCAGCAATTCATTTTCCAGAAAACCGGGCTTATATGGTACTTGGAAAATCTTGTGTTGCACTCTGTTACTGAGCTGAACTTTCAGAGTTGACGGAATGACCATAATTACCTAGAAAGAAACAGTCATTTTTCTGGAAAAGAGGTTCTCTGATCCCGAAGATAAATAATTGTTACTCTAGATATCTTATGGCATTGCAAGGTAACGCGTCTAGCGAAACAAAAAAGCTAGGTATGGCGATTGATTTTTCCATATAACGAAAAAAATAACAAAGACCGAACGAAATTGTGAAAAGACTGGCGATGGGTCGCTCCCTGAGTACCTAGTGTCTTGATATGGGTTTCACCCGCAGTTTTCCCAATTCTGACCCTAAACTTCATACGATTTAAGGCCATGATAGTCAAAATCCTTCTTAAATACATGCGTCTGCTGCGTACAAAGGGTATCACCGCCCACGAGGAAGATACGCACCCAACTAACAAAATTTAAAGAGTAGATTTTCGTAAAATCGGTCGTTGTTACGCACGCAGTAGTGGTCTCTGTCCCTTCACATTCAGTTCGTTGTAAGATATTGCGCAAATCAGGGCTTTCTTGACCCTTAAATAAACACACAACCAATCTCTATTTGCACAACATAGACGTGACGGGATAAGTTTTATTCTTTTGAATTAATGACTTTGAGAGCGCATTGATTCATTTCACCTCTGCTCAGTTGCATAGAACAAACTGACTGAAGGATTTTTGGATCCTACGAACTAGCAACTAAGTTTCGTGTGGTTCACGAGGCAGACGAGTAGCTTCTATGTCTCACTATAGGTCGAGATGAATCACGCGAACGTCTTCACGATAAAGGCAATCTTTGATGTTGAGCCAGCTGAGGACGTGTCGGTTTTTTAGCATTTATTCATCACTAGCTTAACAAATTTCAGAAGAGAGAATATATGTAACCACTTGAAAGAAGGTTTCGGTTTATTAACCCACCTTGACCGCGCGCAGACTATACTAATTTGACATTGACCAAAATTGTCTTACCTCATGTCCTCGAGAGGCCATTTCTTCCAGAACACTCCTTAAGTTCATGTACTGGGATTTTCCTATCGTGCAAAAGGCAGCAATCCTTGCTGAAAAAGCCGAATTTACTGTCAATGACAACAAAAGCAATGCTAACAACGCCATCTTGGAGCTGGAACTGTTCAATGCTTTATTTGCTACGTCAGTCGGATTATTTTCTGAGGTGGTCACGCAATCTCTCTGCACCAGATCTTATGAGTAATGATGCCATAATAGCATCAAACAATATCAATCCCAGAAATATTTTTAGCGATAACATCCCTGTTCCACAGTCCATGGACTCCGAGGGTTGAAGTGTTCTCGTCCCTGTAAGATTTCTATACCGAAAAAAAAAGAGCACTTGCTCAAACCTTTGTATTTTGACGAGGGAGGGGTAGGGATAGGGGAGCGTCTAGAAGACGGTGAAATCAACAGCCCTCAAAACCCCTCCCAACACTCGAGACAACATAGTAAACAAAAGAAATATGAACATTATTCATCTGACTTTCGATTAAACGGAATTGGAGAATTAAAAAACGAAAGCACTTACGCCACTAATTTTATCTAGTATCAAGAGCTCTGTGATTCTCTTTCGGTAATTTACTCAAGGAGTGTGATTTCCATTGAAGACGTCAACGACGCTGATTTGAGCGGAGATGAGGTATTCGTAGAAAGAAGGCATTCACCTCTACCCGCAGACTAGGCCTTTGCCACACACCGGTAAGGTCAGAGTTATGTGTATGACCCTCGCAAGGAGGTTTGAACCTAATACCGACGGGCTAGTGCTGGAGCATTAGCCATCAGTATCCGACCACAGCCCCTCCTTGAGGCAGGCCACGCCCCATTCAAAGTAAACCGCGCGTGGTACAAACTCTCGTCAGGGCCCCCACATCGGAACAAAATCACAACTTGATGGGTTGGTAGGGAGAAAGTGGAGTCCTCAGCCCCATCACGTTGTTTTTTTAGGAGTTTTTTCTCGCTGGTGTCCGGGGTAAATCGGTATCGGCGAGAACATACAGTTAAGTTAACTGTGTTAAAAAAAAAAAGAGATGAAATGCTTAACAATTGCAGTCACGTATTTCCTTTGCTTTTGTAATATCTACTTATTAAGAGAAGGGAGAAACTGCGTTAACTTGAACGGCTCCGGCGTTTTTCAATGTTTTTCAATGAAAGAGCGCGCGAGACAGAACTTGTCATATGAAAAATGGAATAACTGCTACAAAAATGATGTTTCCATCTAACAGACGACATTTCGAAACCTCAATGTCTCCGTAATGATATGTTCATCATCACTTTTGAAAGAGCAATCAGGCTAGTGTTTCTGTAATCTATTCTTTCTTAGCTTTGCTTTCAGTCAGTTTGCAACACAAACGACAACAGCATCTACACGTAAACCAAAGCACCACGAAAACTAATGTTATTATGGTAACAAGAAATGCTACGACGTCGAGTAAGTGGTGTTGGTACCATGGCATGTTAAACACTTGGGCTCTGAGGTGCTGTGCCCCTTTGTATCTAATACATACTCCAGCCATGGCCAGTCGCCGGTTTCTTCTAAAGGTGTTCGTCGACGATCCTTTAACAGGATAGAGATGTGTAGCACTTTTGTTTTAAATCTGAGGAGGGAAAGGAAAATCATCACATTTTACTGAAACGTTCTATAACGAACTATTCAAAGAACACCGAGGAGATTTGCTGATCCTTCCATCATTACCGTGACAGTGGTCTCCTCAGATCTCTCCCTTTGCCGCTCGTAACAAGGTCACGCAACATTGCGTGACATCATAGCACCGGCTGCGAAGAGCACTACATGACTGTTGTATCATCGCTGTACATCGGTCTTACCTGGGCTCACTAATAACGCGTTGAATTGTGTCGAAAAGATCCTGAGCTTTACAACCTTTAGGATCCACAGCCAAACCAATACCCAAATTTTCTGCATGTTTGGCATTATAGTGTTGGTCTGCAAATTGAGGAAAAGCCACCAAAGGAACTCCGTGGTATGCCGACTCATAAAGGCTGTTGTGCCCAACATGGGAGACAAAAGCTTTGATATTCTTGTGAGCCAAGAGATCATTCTGAGGTAACCACTCCACTACTTTGATGTTAGATCCCAAGAAGGATGGAATGTAACCTGATAGAGCAGAAACGAGCTTAGAGAAAGCACAAGGAATGAAACTGTATCAACAATCCACAATGACAAAGGAGGACAAATAAGTATTTGGATCTTTTTCTGTAGAAGAAAGCTTTGCATATACGCCTCCCTCGTTCATCAAAAAACATTTCTTTCAAGCGAAAGGCTTATCCCTCTCAAAGGGGCTGCATTCGATTTTCCAAAGTTGTTATTTGCATTTCGTCCCAATTTTCCCATCTACAGTCGAACTAACCAGACGAAGTAGTCCGGATAATCGTGGGTCTGGATAATCGAGAACATGCCGGAATATTAATGAGGAACAAAAAGTGATTCAATTAAGAAAGCGACATTTAATCTTCACTGTCCCACGAGAATACCTCTACACGTGTGTATTAACAATTAAAATTAATGAAAAAATATTTCTTCATAGACCTAAAATGTTGAAGTACGTCAGTTTGTCTTAAAGAAGAACATCGCCTTTACTTCCCTTTTGAATGCTGTAGCTTTAAAAAGAATATGGCTACGGATCTGAATCATGACTAATAAATATTCATGAAAAAAGAATGAGAGCATAGAAAAAGTCCGGATAATCGAGGTTCGACTGTATTCAATTTCCATGGATACCACTACAGGGTGTGTGAGAGTGCGCACGCGCGTGTTTGTTTGAGTCATCTTCCTGCGTGATAGTTTTCTGTTCTCACCAAGCTGAGGAAAGAAAATTAGGAAGTTGCAAAGTCATGACCTAGTTTAAGTCATTGTTCTTCGGTATAGTAAGGAATTTCTATCTGTACGAAAACAAAATTGTGTCATTTAGGTAAAAGAATTATTTTAAAGTAAACGTCTAAAGCAAAGTTGTGAGACAAATACTATTGATACCTATATATTGATACCTAGATATTGAGGGAGGGGAAGGAAAAAATACATTTTTTCCTTCCCCTCTCTCTCCCCCGTTGCCCATTTTTCCACTTAACACCTACTCCCTCGGCAAATATTTCCTCGCCCCAATCCTCCACAGTTACTAAATCTAAGATGGCGGCCTAATACGAAAATTTGCACTCGTGCGCAGTCTCGTGCGCCCAAAATACGCCGGTACTGCAGGCTATCAAATACCACGTGGTAATTGCTGTGGTTGTCGCGCAATAGCTCGTTCGCGTCTACAGCTTTTTTCGGTCATTGGCGATGTTCACTTTGCTTTATTCGCCTCGAGATCGTTTTAAACTCTGTAGCAAATAAAAACAATTGTTTTTCACTAAAGATCTTGTCTAGCAAGCCAATTTTTCTTTAAAAATCTGACTGATNAATTGGTAGAGCGCTGCACTAGTATCGCAGAGGTCAGTGGTTCGAGTCCCGTACAGGCCTGAAATTTTTTTCAGGTCTGATTTTCACTATTGCTCAAATAGTGCTTTACTGCGAAGGATCGTGCACATATACGTTTCATAACCGCAGTTCATACATATGTTTCATATGTTTGTTGTTGTTTGATTTATCATCTACGGGTTTATGTCGAATTAATTTGATGGCCTGCTCCCAGTTGGCTTGTTAGCTCAATTGGTAGAGCGCTGCACTAGTATCGCAGAGGTCAGTGGTTCGAGTCCCGTACAGGCCTGAAATTTTTTTCAGGTCTGATTTTCACTATTGCTCAAATAGTGCTTTACTGCGAAGGATCGTGCACATATACGTTTCATAACCGCAGTTCATACATATGTTTCATATGTTTGTTGTTGTTTAATAAAAAGTTCTTTGGCCGCTAGCGGTTTTAAAAAGTGGAGTATTCAACAATTGAGAGTTTCTTGTATTACGACCGCTCACCTCTGCTCGCTTTAAGAATTTTGAGGACATGTATTTAGGGGCGTGGCCCGTCATACATTTAAAGCCCATTGTAGCACTTCGATAATATAGCTGGTTTGCCACAGATAGCCAGTTAAACTCTTTACGAATGGGCGTAATATGATTGTACTTACGCGCTCCGCTCACAATGCGGCAGGCAAAGTTTTGCATAGCCCGCAGTTTGTTAATATTACATTTCGATGTATTTGCTCATACATTAGAACAATAAAGTAATTTACTGAAAACTAAAGAGTTAATACTCAGCAGGAGTGTACTTTTATCTAAAGCATGCCTAACGCGGTTTATTTGGCCAAGGCGGGACATGGATGAGGACGCGGTCTTAATTATGTGTTCATCGTAAGTTAGATGGGAATCTAAAATCACGCCCAAGTCTTTAGCAGTGTCTGAGGGGACAATGTCTCTTCCCATAAAGAGAATGAAGTGAAATTGCAATTTTGCACGCATTTGCCTGCTGCCAAATATAATTAACTTGGTTTTGCCAGGGTTGAGTAACAAGTGATTCTTAGAACACCATTCTCCTATTTTGAGCAGGTCATCGTTCAAAGCCGTAATTACATCCAAGTTGTCTTTTAGTTAAAAGGAAGCAATGAGTTTTGTATCATCTACGTAACGAGTGAGGGAATATTGTTCGTGTATATGATCCCAAAATACTCCCTTGAGGTACACCGCTGATCACGGGCAAAGGCTCACACAGCTTTGAGTGGATTTGTACGACAGACGATTCGTACTACTTGTTCCCTGTTGCTTAAGTAGCTGCGAAACCATCGTAGGGCGTCACGGGAGATTCCAACGTCTTGCAGTTTTAAAATTAATGTCTCGTGATCGACACTATCGAAGGCCTTACTCATATCTGAGAACTCAATAGCAGTTAGCTTTTTTTATCGATAGCGTTAAGAACTGTATCAGTAGTTTCGATGAAAGATGTTTCACACGAATGCCATTTCTTGTTACCGCTTTGGGTTTTTTGATAGGGTGTCATTTGATTGCAGGTGCGAAGTGAGTTGAACATGTACGACTCTTTCGCAAACTTTAGGGCCTGATCACATGAGCCGGGCTGGCCCTGTTAGCCGGGCTGATTTCTTTTGTTTTGGTGTTCGCCAAAGCGTGAAAACAAAAGAAATCAGCCCGGCTAACCGAGCCAGCTCGGCTCATGTAATCAGAACCTTAGATAACACTGGTAAAAGTGAGATGGGCCGATTGTTGTTAGCCTGTTCATGGTCGCCGTCTTTTGGAATCGGTATAACCTCGGCTGTTTTCCATTTTGATGGAAAAACACATGTTTGAAAGGATGTGTTAGTAATAGACGTAATTGTGTGAACGGTTGAATTTTGACAGTCTTTGATGAACTTTATTCATCTGACTTTAAAACGTTAAAATCTGCGTAATCGTGAAATATTTCCCTGTTGTAATAGTGGTATTTATAATCTTTACAGAGATTGGGTACTAGCTAGCCTCATCTTCATGTTCGGCGGGAGTTTCCCAGAAAAAGTACCCCATCCTTTTCCCCAGTAAACGAAAGCACTTCCGCCACTGAATCTGCGTAGTTTAGAGACATCTGTGATTCTCTTTTGGTAATTTACTCAGAGATTGATAAAAGCACACAGTCCTTGCATTTGTTCTCTTTTAACATGAGTTATTCGAGAACATACAGAAATTCAAACGGTGTCGGCGCCTACAGAAGAAACAGGAACGAAGGACGAAATGAAGGTCAAGCCGCTACTGGAATCCAAGCGGAACAGCCACAACAAGAAGAAACGGCTGCACCGAGCTTAGAAAGGCAAGTTCTGTTAGAGAAAAATGATTTAGACCCCTTGCATTACAATGTATCAGTATACGAGTCAGTAATGGAGTTAGTAGAATATTGTTTAGTTATCAACGCCGTGAATCGGTCGAATAGAGAACCGCCCCTTCAACGAACTTCTTCAACTATAAATATTGCAATTTACCCCAACACTTATAACAATTTTGTTTGATATGTTTGAATTCGAGAAACCATCCTTTTGAAGTATACACCGTTGAATCTTGTGGTTGAATTTTAGTATGGGAAATTCACGCTGAAATTAAGATTGACGATTGTGATTTGTTTCCAATTCGCTTTCGATCGAGACAATTGCCTTTAAGCTTTCATCTATCATCGATTGCTTGGAATTGCAAGTTTTAAAGGTTGTCAATTTTCAACATTCACCTCAGGGTTAACAGGAGAGACGGATTCACCATGTTTAGACCAGACGAAAAGAAAAGGGCTCATTTGACGGAAAGTATGCTTTTTTAATTGATTGCCCCTAAAAATATTATCTGCATGTAAAGAATAAGAAAGACGGTAGGTTTTGAGCTCGGTAAAGAAATATAGAAAGATGTTTTTTCGTCTTATGACGAGCGCGGGACAAAGAAATAAATTCTGAGTTCCTATGAGGGACACCCCATTCCCTCACCTGTAAAATTTTTAAGAACTGCAATTGTCTCTATAGGTTTAAATTTGATTCAGTTAAGAGCAATCAATACAACTCAGTTCAGTCCATCTAGAGAATCTGGAAAAGGTAAACACCAGTCCATTCTAAACTGGGTTTACAACTTTTAATGCAGTGGCAAGACAGGAAGAAGAACAGGCCAATGCTCACAGAGAGGCCAGACGTGTTCGGCGTGTTCATGAAAGACCAGCCCGAGTGGGTGGTTCAACTGGCTACAACACTGTCATAAACCAGAAACAGAAGGCTGTTACATCAGCAAGTAAAGGGCTAGAAATGCAGGTGATTGCCTCAGATATTACTGTACAAGAAAGTTAGAGGTGTGGTTATAAGAATGGCATGCATGATGAGTAGAGGTTATCCCATCCCAGTTTTTGTAGCACAGTTTGACCAGGGGTATTCTGTCTCCTTCTGATTGAGATGCTTTTTCATAAGAGGTAACTCTCAGTCTTAGAATGTGTTTTCTATGTCACGGACCATGAGTAACACTCGGGTGGAGTGAGGCACCTAGTGAGTAAGTCTCCTTCTAGATAACTTAATGAGGGGGGCTTTGGGATTTTCGGTTTTCAGTGTTTTTTTAATCGGTTTTTGGACCAAAAAGGTTCGGTTTTCGGGTTTTGATGTTCAGAGCAGTTTGCGGATTTTACGTGATTTTGCATTCAGTTTTTGGTTTTCACGAAAACTCTGATACGGTTTTCGGTTTTTCCTTTTTGACCCCTTTAAAGATGAAAATGTGCCTGTTTTGTCAGGTTTGCATGCGGTTTTCGGTTTAGCTGCCTTTTTTTGTCGGTTTTTCAGTTTTGGCATTTTTTTTCTCTGGTTTTGCAGTTTCCCAGTGGCCTCAATGCCCCCCTCCTTAACACTGCAGTTACCTCTACAAGGGCTCAATCTCTGATTATTGCAGGGTTTGACACTAAAGTTTTCAACTTACCAGCCAATTGGCTAGTGACATCTTAGATTTTACAACAATTCAGTTTATTTACTAGCCAAACTGGCTGGTAGAAATCAAAAACCACTAGCAAGAACTGAATTTCTACTAGTCTGTGGCTAGTGGGCTACCGTTAGTGTCGCGCCCTGTATTGGAGGTCCAGCCTCCCTCCTCTCCAGCTCAACAAGAATTAGTGTACATATAAGTGTACTGTGAGATGCTTGACATGAATTGCTTCCCTTGGAAGTGTTTACTCAGGGTTCAGGGGAATGGGATATTTGTGAGGTCCTGCTTGTTCAAGCTTGTGGTGGCCATTTTGGAGGAAAAAAATTGGGCACTGACTTCTGAAGGACAGGGAAACATAGATAGGAGCATTAGCAATGAATATTTGCTTTTCAGTGTTGGTTTGTTTTTTTGCCAGTGGTAATGTCATCACATTTATGTTTGTTATTTTTAGAAAAAACGAGAGAAATGGCAGCAAGAAAAGCGGGAAAGGGAAGAGAGAGAACTACAAGAGAAGAAGGCAAAAGCTAGGGCTCAGGTAGCCAGAGTGGGGTGTGAAATATTCAGAGCTTTCCTAACACTGCACACTCTTACCTAATTATGCACTTTCTCCATACTATTCTCTACACATTTCCTAAGGTGTTGACAAGGATAATTTGATTTACAGTCAAGAGTTTTTTTAGTTTGGTGATCATTTCCATTATTCTAACTTGTGACCTAAATGTTTGTCTTTGGGGGTGAAATTAGATGCTGGTCACTTTTGGGGTTCAATGGTTAACGACTTATAATTAATTAACTGCAGTTTACAGAGATTAGAAACTTTCCATGAACATCCTAATTGCAATGTGTCCTTCATTTCAATTGATTTCCTAAACAAAATACTCTTAACTTTGCTTGTTCTTTCTGTTTCCTAGCTTCATTTATGAGTATCTTGCCTGTGTCAGACTATTATATTAAAAAAATTTAACAGATTTTGTAAATATAATTGTTGTTCAATACTGAATCCTTTCTAATGTCTTCTACTGAAGTCAGAAAGAAATGAAGTTCTGAGGGCTGTTAGAGCCGAGGAAGCCATGGAGCGACACAGGGATGAACACAGATGGTATAATTGTAATTAATTATTTCATTTATGATGAAAACAATTAAGGAATATAGTATATATATCTTATTAACCAAGCGCGAGGGCCATACTGGGAGAATATCGGCCTGAAGTCTTGACAGTATGGACCGAGTGCAGCGAGGTCTGTACAAAAAAGACCGAGGGCCGATATTCTTCCAGTGCGGTCCCAAGCAAGCTTGGTTAATAAGAGATTTATTATACGACTGAAGTTCAAAGGGACACAAGTGCGGTATCATTCGGGACCATTTGGGACAGTGCCCGGTCCAATACTTAGAGAATATTGGAC